AGAGGTAGCAGGAGGCCAGAGGAAGTCAGGCTTTGATGGAGAGAGATGAGAAAAGCCTTCCTGATAATGAAGCACCCTAGCTGTGTGTCCTAGATGGGTTTCCACGCTGCAATGAACACTATGAGAGGGAAGGGCCGAGCTCACCTTGTAGATCCCACTGCACTCCACCACCGAGGGAAGTCAGGCAGGAACCTGAGGCAGGAGCTGATGCAGAGGCCATGGAGGAGTGCTGCTTACTGGCTTGCTCCCCATGGCTTGCTCAGCCTGTTTTCTTGTATCACCCAGAACCACCAGCCCAGGGATGGCCACTCAGAACTTGGGAGGTGGAAGGTGGTGATGGATTGGCACTGTTCACTTCAAATGGTCAGGCTGGTGGTTACTCCCTGTCATCCCAGCACACAGAAGGTGACGACAGAAGGTGACAGAAGGATCAGAAGTTGGAGTCTAGCCTGGGCTACATGAGCTTAAAGACAAGGCTACCCTCTCTTAAAAAAGAAAGAGGTTATGAATGACAAATTTGATTCTACATCTATTTCACCATAATGGGAAGGCTGGAGAAAGACAGACACCAGAACTTCTGTCCTTGGTTCATTCCCTCTGGGGAATATCAGCTACAGGGACATTCTCCCAGCAGAGAATTAGATGAGGTTCTGAGGTCTCCGGTCCCCAGACTGAGGATCATCTTTGTTTGTTTGTTTTTGTTTTTGCGTGTGTGTGTGTGTGTGTGAGATGAGGTTCTGAGGTCTCCGGTCCCCAGACTGAGGATCATCTTTGTTTGTTTGTTTTTGTTTTTGTTTTTTTTTGTTTTTTCAAGACAGGGTTTCTCTGTGTAGCTTTGCACCTTTCCTGGAACTCACTCTGTAGACCAGGCTGGCCTCAAACTCACAGAGATCCGCCTGCCTCTTCCTCCCGAGTGCTGGGATTAAAGGCATGCGCCACCACCGTCCGGCTGACTGAGGATCATCTTAGGGGCACCTCTACCCTCCCAGCTTCCTGTGACTCCAGGCATGGCCACCCCGTGACTGCACATCACCAAGACCCTTTGTGGATGAATGTCTCCACTGATGAAGACATTCCCAGCTCTTGGGGCTCCAGAAACAGTGAGGTAGTAAATGTTTACTATTGTTCAAGCCGCTGAGGGCCAGAGTCACTTGTTCTCTGGTGACAGACGTGGTGGCTCATCTGTGAAGGAAAGATGATGATTTCATGGGCTATTGATCGTGGTGAATCCCTCCATGGTATCTCATGGGCTGTTGCTCTGAGTTGGTAAGTGGGCATGGCATACTTAGAGGAGTGCCTAGCATGCGGTAGGTGTTCAATAAATGCTTCCTGGAATGACTTTGTGTTTTCTGTGACTTCTGACATTGTGAAGTGCTTGGCCTGGGTCACGGAGTCTCACTAACAATTCTACACCACAGGCTGCTGTGAGAATAACAGATGGTGAAACCCCGTCTGAAAAAACAAAACAAGCCGGGCAGTGTTGGCACACAACTTTAATCCCAGCACTTGGGAGGCAGAGGCAGGAGGATCTCTGTGAGTTTGAGGCCAGCCTGGTCTGCAAAGTGAGTTCCAGGACAGCTGAGACTTACACGGAGAAACCCTGTGGTATTGTATTCCCCCAAATATTGTGCACGCTAATAAACTTATCTGGGGTCAGAGACAGAACAGCCACAATATTAAACATGAGGATAGGCAGCGGTAGCACACACCTTTAATCCTAGCATTCCAGAGGACTGAACCTCTGAAACTAAACCCCATTAAATGTTTTCCTTTATAAGAGTTGCTGTGGTCATGGTGTCTCTTCACAGCAATAGAAATGCTAACTAAGACACCAGGCATTGTGATGCATGCTTCAGTCTCAATGCTTGAGAGACAGAAGCAGGTGGATCATTGTGAGTTCTAGGCCAGCCTGGTCTGCATAGGACAGTCCAGGACAGCCAGGACTACACAGAGAGACCCTAAAAGCAAGCAAACAAACAAAACTAAAACAACAACAACAAACAACAAAAGAAAAGATGACATTTATAATAGAGGCTGGAGAAATGGCTCAGTGATCAAGAGTGTATGCTGCTCTTTCAAAAAACCTGGAGTTTGGCTCCTAGCACCCGCATGAGGAGGCACATAACCATCTGTAACTCCAGCGCCAGGGGGTCCAATGCCCTCTTCTGGCCTCTGTGGGTACTGCACTCACACACATACATATACACACAGAGACACACCACCACCACCAACAACAACAAAGAAAACAAAACAAAAACCCAAAGACGACACAATGAGGCCTGCCACGATTGAGCACCTATTATATGCCTAGTCTTCCATGATAGAGCACCTACTATATACCTGTTCTTGGGATAAACATTACAGCCTTTCATTGAGGCCCCCAGCAGCATTCCACATAGTGAATGTCATTTCCTCATTTGATAGACTGGAAATCCAAAAGGGGTCCAGACACGGAAAATTACAGCCCTAGGTCACACAGGAAAAATGTAGTATAGAGCTGGGCAGTGGTGGTGCACACCTTTAGTCCCAGCACTCAGGAAGCAGAGGCAGGAGGATCTCTGTGATTTCAAGGCCAGCCTTGTCTACAGAGAGAAATCCAGAACAGGCTCTAAAGCTACACAGAGAAACTCTGTCTTGAAAAACAAAAACAAACAAACAAACAAACAAAAGATGTGGTATAGGTAGAATTTGAATCCAGCTGCTTCAAACCCCCAATTATCTGAACCGAGGCTGGGAATCTCCCCAAAGCCCACGCCCCCCCTTCAGCAGCCCCTTGCTGCCTGGCAATGGGTTTGCTGCCCGAGAGTCGACAACAGGATCATTTGTTCCTTCACCCCCATCTGGACAGCCCAGTCTTCCCCCATGGGCAACAGAAGAAGAGTCTCGGGAGCCTGCTTTTTGCCATTCTGGGGTTTCTCCCCCAGCCCGTCCACAGCTGGACCTGCAATGAGAGAACGGCATGCAGGTGGGCACACAGAGTGTCAGCATGCCTGCCAGGTCCTGCTTCCTCTGGTGTTTCATTGGGGGCTCTTAATCAGCCCCAGGCACCTCCAGGATCAGCAAGCTGACTCTGCACAAACAGCTCTCCAGATAGCTGACATGCGGCTGACAGCAGAACCAGGTCTCTAAACAGGCCCTGAGCTCAGGCCATGGACATGGGCTAGGCAATCATGACATGGCCTTTATTAAGCAGATCTTTTTTTTTGATTTATTATGTATACAGTGTTCTGTTTGTATGTATGTCTGCAGACCAGAAGAGGGCACCAGATCTCATTACAGATGGTTGTGAGCCACCATGTGGTTGCTGGGAATTGAACTCTGGACCTCTGGAAGAGCAGTCAGTGCTCCTAACCGCTGAGCCATCTCTCCAGCCCTATTAAGCAGATCTTAAGTGTGTACTTGGGCAAATGCAGGAGGGGGCACAGGGCCAGATCCAGCCTAGTGGGGGACCAGAGATACTTCTAGATGTCTGTGGCTTGATTAGGGCTGAGCTGGGTCTCTTGTCCCCACGCTGTCATTAGATTTTGTTTTGTTTTGTTTCTGAGACAGGGTTTCTTTGTGTAGCCGTGGCTGTCCTGGAACTCACTCTGTAGACCAGGTTGGCCTCAGAGACCCACCTGCCTCTCCCTCCTGAGTGCTGGGATTGAAGGTGTGTGTCACCATGCTGGGTTACATTTCTCAGATATTTTTGACCTTGAGTTGCAGGAAGAGGGATAGTTTCCACCACAATTGTGACACACACACGTATACACATCAGTGAGGATTTCATTAGTCTTGCTCCCTAATTCTGAGTAATGTATGCTGACTTCGACTTCTCTCCATTCCATTCTGCTTTATTCTTTATGTTATACTGTGCTTCATTCTTAAAAAGGAGCAGCCAGGGACTGTAGTGGCTGACAGCGACAAGGACCTGATTTGATTCCCAGACCCCACGTTCATCATAGGGTAGTCCATAAACATCTGTAAACATCAGCTCCAGGGGATCGATTCATGTGCACATACCCACATACAGATACACATGCAATTACAAAATAAAATAAATCCTTGGGGAAAAAAATTGAATGTGTTAGGAGGTGATGGCTGCTACACTGAGGAGGGCATGGTGGGTGTGTAGATCAAAGGGTTATTGACAAGTTGACACCCGAAAGAGGTGAGGCAGGGAGCCGCATGGCTAGCCTGGGAACATTCTTCCATGCAGAAGGGACAGTCAGAGCAAAGACCCTGCGGTAGATATCTGCTCCACTACCAGAAAACTGACAGAGGGCTAGTGTATTTGGTGGTGAGGGAGGGAGAAGACAGGAGACACAGAGGGCAGAGGTGCCCTCTGGGTGGGAAAAGGGCGGCATCATTTGGCGAGTGAGGTGGGCTTGTGTGAGAAGCAGGCAGGAGACTATGACAGAACAGTGCTCTCAGTGAGAGCAGGGGCAGAGGATGAGTGCCTGGCAGAACTTACCGAGGACTGGGCTTTGTGCGCCATGTGATTGGAAGCCTCAGGGAAGCTTTCTGAGGACACAGTGACATGTCCAGACTGACAGCTTGACAGGACCCCCGTGGCCACTGTGTTGAGGAGAGCTTGGAAGAGATGAAGGGCAGAATGAGGAGCCTGGCTGGGGGCTGCGGCAGTCACCAAGTGGTGGGCAGTGGTGGCTGGGGAGCTGGCACTGGGGAGCTGGGAAAGGCAGATCCCAGTGCTGTGGAAAGTTAAGCCCAGCGGAAGGGCCCACTGGCCATTTACGTCAGCACCACTTGTTACAGGGGTAGGTGGGGGCAACTAGAAACTAGCTCTTGCCACAGACAGGACACCACAGGCAGCCTCACTGAAGGCCTCGTAAATCTCATCTGGGGTGAGGTCTTAGATGCACCCGATGAGAAGTGAGGGGCAGGGCAGGCTGATCATAGGTAACTGAGAGCTGAAACACAGGAAGGCAAAATGAAACACCCCACGTGTGTGTGTGTGTGTGTGTGTGTGTGTGTGTGTGTGTGAAGACCCTCCCCCAGAAGGACCAGAGCTGTAGAGAGGATTGCCTGCAGAAACGGAGGGCTGAGGTAGGAGGGAGATTTTTGACTTTGATGTTTGATCCTGTTCTAGAGGACCTCAACTGGGGGTCATCTTTGTCTTCATTCCCATTCTTCACCCCACCCCCACCGAATCCTCAGGGAGAGCTGGAGATGTAACTGCAGGAGGGTGCTCCTAGCACCCAGGGCGGGGGTGCGGGTTGTTAAGCACCCCACAGCCTTCAGGACCGCACCAGCTGAGAGGGAGGCTGAGGCTGCCATGCTCTGATCTACATGAAGGTTAGCCGAGTCTGATTTCTAAGATGGCCTCTACGCTGAGCGTTTGAGGCATCCGTTGTCCAAAGGCACCGGTGACGGGCTATAGTATACGGTGCTCACTTCCTCAACATCTTGACTTAGGAAATAAACCGCTAGCCAGGCTTATACACTTTTTCAAACCAAGTGGAAAATGGCCTGGCCTGTGATATTCAGCCCAGGCTGGCCTTGGGCTTATTATGTAGTGGAGAATGACCTTGAACTCCTGACCTTCCTGCCTCCCGCTCCTGAATGCTGGGAATACGGTGTATGCCATCATGCCTAGTCTATGTAATGCTGGGGATGGAATCTACATGCTAGGCAAACGCTCCACCAATGGAACTACATCGCCAGCTAAGGGAAGAGGCTTCTGAACTCCACTTCCGGTCCCAGTGGAGTGGATGACTGCAGCTGATGTATTGTGACCTTAGAGTCACCCAGGTTCAGCTGTTCCTGACTTTCAGTACCATAAAAACCACAGGAAAGCAGGTGCTTCAAGTTGCTAGGCACTGGGGTAATCTGGTTCACAGCAGTCGGAAACATGGATGTTCTCGACCTTGGTTCTCAGGGCAGAGAGCCCAACACTGGTGGCTGTTTCTGGTCCATAGTTCCGGTCAGCCTTTAGCTGTGTCTGGCCTATGGTTGTGTTCAGTCTATGGCTCTCTGTGGCTGTGGTTATCCTGTGATTGTGACTTGCCTGTGGTCAGCCTGTGTCTCTCTGTGGCTGGCCTGTGACTGTGGCTAGCCTGTCTGTGTGAGTCTGTGGCTGTGGTCAGCCTGTGGCTGTATGAGTCTGTGGCTGTGGTCAGCCTGTGGCTGTCTGTGGCTGTGGCTGGCCTGTGACTGTGGCTAGCCTGTAGCTGTGGTCAGCCTGTGGCTGTCTGTGGCTGGGGTTGGGCTGTGGCTGTATGAGTCTGTGGCTGTGGCTAGCCTGTGGCTGTATGAGTCTGTGGCTGTGGCTGGCCTGTGACTGTGGCTGGCCTGTGGCTGTGGTCAGCCTGTGGCTGTCTGTGGCTGGGGTTGGCCTGTGGCTGTAGTCAGCCTGTGGTTATCTGTGGCTGTGGCTGGCCTGTGGCTCTCTGTGGCTGGCCTGTGGCCGTGGTCAGCCTGTGGTATCACTGGCTTGCACATATACCTCCATTGGCCAGTACGTGGAAAAAAAATTGGAATTCATCACCAACACTTAAAAGCTGGCAGAAATCTTGTAAAATATAAAGATTTCTGGTTCTTTTTCGTCATTATTATTTACAATTATCTATTTGTGTGTGAGGGAGAGGGAGGGAGGGAGGGAGGGAGAGAGGGGGGCATGCTACAGTATGCCTGTGGAGGTCAGAAGACAACTTGTGGACCTTCCACCCAACGCGTGGGTCCTAGTGGTCGAACTCCGGCCCCAAGTGCTTTTACCTGTTGAGCTATTTGCCAGCTCCAGATTTCTGGTTTTTGTAAGATGTGGCATTGCTATCCTAGGTCCCTAGGAGATAAGAACCAGCTGGAGATGAGAGCGTGGTGGGTGTGTCCTCCAGCTGGCCATGCCCTCCACTTTTCTTATTCCTGGAATCCAGGTTGCTTTGCACATCTGTCAGCCTCTTGGCCCTGTGGGTCATAGGCTGCTACCTTCTTTGGCTTTTGTTTTGTTTTGGGCTGTGGGAGACTGAGTTGCTGGGAGCTCTGATGCTCTCAGGAGTGCTGGGTGACAGGCCTGTACCACTGCCTCATCTATGGGGAAACATTTTTATGGGAAAAGAGTACCTAGGTAGAGTGGACATGAGAGCCACACGGCCAGCTCTGGGTTTTGATTCATGGACACACTCCAAGATGGCTTGCGTATTGGGGGTGATTTTCATGTACTCACTCTTCCATGGAAAGTGAAGCTACCAGCATGGACCTGCCAGGTCCTCAGACTCTCAGAATTCAACTTTTTTTTTTTTTAAATGATTTTATTTAATTTTATGTGCATTGGTGTTTTTCTTTCATGTGTGTCTGTGTGAAGGTGTCAGATCCCCTGTAAATGGAGTTACAGACAGTTGTGAGCTGCTATGTGGATGCTGGGAATTGAACCTGGGTCCTCTGGGATAGCAGCTGGTTCTCTTAACCATGTAGCCATCTCTCCAGCCCGAATTCAGCCTTTCTTACATACACCCAAGCCTCCTCCCTCTCCCAGAAATAAGTCAAACACCACCAGGCTTGTTTTCTCCGGATCTTTTATTGAACGCTGCAGACTTCATTAAGGGACCATTTGCTTGGAAATTCTTAAACATGTGAACGTTTTTTACAAGACAGGACAGCAGCCGGAGGTCACACAAGGGTCACAAGTCCATCTCACCACATGCAGAAGACAACATTGGGGTTCGGTTGGTTTCCTTGTGTGTATACTTGTGTGCATGTGCTCACACATGCACACCAGTGTGCACTGTCACATGTGCAGAAGGGACTGGGGCCTTCCACTGATGAAGGCTGAACAGGACCCATAAACACAACCCGAAGAAAAGCGGCTGAGGACCCTGGTGGATTATGGCTGACATGATTGGCTTGGCCCCCTTGGAGTGTGGGGCAATCAGAATGGCTTTGCTGGCAGGAGAACCTCACCTTATGCTGTGGGGTCCTGGGAGGGCCAGAGGGTTTGAGCTGATGGGACTGGCGTGCTTGTCATTGTAAGGGGGCCTTTGGGGCTCAGTTAAAAGGAGAGACCATTGGTTCTTACAACTCAGGGAATGAGATCCAGTTACAGACACTGGCTCCCATGCTCCTGCCCCAGTCAAGTCCCAGACCCCCTCCACTCTGGACCCTTGGCTTGAACTACTGGATAGCTACTGTGGCCTCCCTGTGAACTGAAGTAGAACAAGCAGGAAGACAGCAGGTGCTGGCCAGTCTCAGGGCAGGAGGCTCTGAGTAGGCCATGGCCCCTATCAGTTTGAGGCTACCAACATCAAATGTGGGCATTACTGTGACTCCAAACATGATCAAAGAAGACATGGTATTTGTGGGGGCAGTTCAGAGAGAAAGGGACTCCCACTCTTCCCAGTTAGCAAAGCCCCCCCAGCCAGGTGAGACTCCAGCAATAAATACCCTCTTCACTACACACCCATCCACATATTCACTTTCCCCGAATCACAGGCTGGGTGATCACTGTGTGCCAACACTTACTGGCAGATGGCCGTGGGTTTTTGGTGCAGGAAAAGGGGGGCTCCCTGCCCTCTAGCTTAGACTAAGCCAAATGGGCCGAGAGAGAAAGAGGCCAGCTGCCCTGCAGTACCTGGAACCACATCTGGCTCTTGGATGCCCACTCGTCTCGGATGTCTCAAACCTTGGGGAAGCCCAGAAGCTGGCATCTGTGCAGCTGAGCTAAACCCTTGGCACCTCTTATGTGCAGCCCTGCTTGTCCAGACTCAGCTTCACCTAGGGAGGCAGGAAATGCCTGAGCTCTGTGTGTGGCTTGGAGCACATCTAAGTGGAACAGAATTGGGGATCCCCCACATCTTCCCCAACTGCACCGTAACTGCAGCTGAGTGTCTTGGGCAACACTTGTGTGGGCTGAGATTTTGAAAAGTGGTTTCCGTTTAATTTAGTTTTAGAAGAAATGGTTCAACCAACCCTGGCCCTACTGGTCTACGCTGCCTTTCAAAACCACTGAGACCACCTGGACTTGGGCTCACTCAGAAGTTCCCATGCCACCTCCTCCACACCCACCATGCCCAGTGAGGGAGGGTGGAGGTGGACAGCAGGAGGCAGGCCCTTTGGGGATGGATGTGGGGAGCGAGCTCTCTTCTTAGAAACAGCCCGAGCTTTGTTTCTCGTAAAGCAGAATTACAGCTACCTTGGCCTTTTTGATTTTTCTGGATTTATTTCTTGGGCAGAGACCTTTGAAAATCTTGACTAGGTTCACTATTTTATTTAACAGGAAAAAAGAGCCCTTTTGGAATGGCGCCTTTTGGGATTGCCTGGGCAGTGGGTGGCTGGTGTGGGGCTGTCACTGCATCTCTCCGAGGGCACAGGGTCTGGGGAGGGCTGAAGCACCATGCGGTGGCCACCCACAGGGGGACTTGGTGAGCTGGCCCTTTGCTGGCCAGGGAAAGGGCAGCATGCATCTCATCTCCAAGTGGTCCTTGTTAGGCCACTGGGAATGGGTTGGGTCAGTGACTGGCTGGGTCAGAGAGGTCCCCGAGGAGCAGGCTTGTGAAGTTGCGTCCCTGGCTGCAGCCTCTTGCTTTGGTGCCTCCTGGGATGGCCCCATCCTATAACCTGAGTCCTACCAGCTGTGTTCCAAGTCCTTGTCTATGTGGCCTGAACCTGGGCCCAGAATGTTCAAGACACCCATGCAGATACCCACATGTGCACACAAGGCCATGGACAGAACACACACACACACACACACACACACACACACACACACACACACACACACCACAGAATTGCTTTGAGTTCCAGTCCAATTTTGTAGTAATGCCAGGGCCCGTTTGTGCGTTATCCAGCCTCCCTGTGAATACCTGTAATACAGCAGGTAGTCTGGAGCTCCTTACCCACCATGCACTGCATTCCACGAGCAGATCACCTAACTGCTGAGAAAGGGCTTACTTGCTTTGAGCAGAATTGACCAACTCACATTAGGTGCTGACATCCTTGGCCAGCTCCCTGCCCAATGCTCTCTTTTAGATTTCTTCAGGACCTTGGCTGAGAGGGAAAGAGGTAGGGCTACGCGTGGAGAGAAGGCTCACCTGACTAACAGTCCCTTCCAAATTCAGTTCAAATTGCCATTTGGAAATTTTGAGAGGAATTCTAAGGCAAGGAGAGAAGGTCAGAGCGTACCCCTTCTTTCTTGGGAAGACAGCCAATGTTTACTTATCTGGGTAGGAAACCTGGGAAATATCAGGACAGCACTTTTAAATTTTATTCTTATGCAAAAGTTACACACACACACACACACACACACACACACACACAAAATCTTGCCTGTTTTATTTGGCTCTGGAACAAACCAGATTACCAGGAATTTTAGGGCTGGGGAAACCGATAAGAATTACATTCCAAAGTAATACATTCAGGGGCTGGAGATGTAGCTCAGGGGTCGAGCACTTGTCCGACACAGCCAAGGCCCTAGTTAGATTTCCCAACACCACAAAACAGAACAAAACCAAAGGGAAGAAAAGAAAATCCAACCACCAGGATAATGAATTTGTTTTTGGGTTAGCATCCTCTTGGGGTTCTTTCGGCGGGGGACATCATCACTGTCTGAGATGGAGATGGTCCTGGCTCCACCCAAATATCTGATGCTGATGGAGCTCAGAGCCCAGAGCTGAGGCAGGCGGGTGACCCGTTGAGCATGGGAGGCAATCTGATTGGCTTTCTTTGCTGTTCCATGTAAGTGATTGATGGAGAACCCCTTTCACTCCATGTGGTGTCTGTCCATCACCTGCCCCTAGACTCAAAATTGCCTCCCAGATGAATGTTCAGGACTGACCAAGGACTAGAGGCTTGGAAAAGTGGAAGCTGGAAAAATACTGCTGCCCTTGCCCTCAATTTCACTCTGCGCAGCTGAGAAGGACCTGGGCAGGAAGATCGCAGCTTTGGACGGTCGCTCCTCAGCTTTTGGCTAAAAGGCTGTCTGGCCACTGGTTTTTGGTGAGACTGTGAGAAAGGGATCGGAGATGCAGCACATTCCTCTGAAGCTTGCCAGAGCCTGCACATGCTCTGGTCCCTGGATCCAGTTGGTGGCCCTGGGAAGCAGGATGCTGGACATGGGGACAGTCTGGCCAAGAGGAACTCAGGAGAGTTCCTGAGCTTAGCGATCAGAAACAAGTTTGCTTGCAGGAGGGTCTTGGTTCCAGTATTTTTAGGAACCAGAAAGCTCGGTCTTTTAAGATCCTGGGAGGGTAAGGCCTAAGCTCTGGGCAGCCCAGGTCCCAACTCCACCTCTGCTTCACCTGACTTGCTCATGCACACCTGGATTCTTAAGAGTGATAGCCAGACCTGATCACAGACGTGACGAAGAAAGACACAGATTCCCCACCCCCCTCACTGTACCACCCCCGAGGGGCCAGGAACACAGTCTTCCAGGATGTCAAACCCCAGTCTTTCTTCACCTCCAGACAACCAGAATCCAACAGAAGAAAAGCAAACAAACAAACAAACAAACAAAAAACCAGCCCAAGGGACAGTGGGAAGGAATGATGGAAGAGCAGAAAAGACCAGCTATGCGAATGAGCAACGATAAAACCCCCAAGATATTACTGTTACAAAAGAAATTAGACTAAGTTGTCCTATTATAAATATACTAAAAATACATATATATATATATTTATCTGAACAAAAAAATAGACTACTCTGAGATATGTAGATGTCCTAGGATATAGATGCTTCTAGAGCCAGAAGAAACGGCAACAGAAAATGCAGAGGTAACTCTTATTTCCAGGTGTGGCCAAGGGCTGGTTTGGACGGCTCTGGCCTGGTGACATGAAAGCATTTGAGTGTTGTCCTATAAACAATAATAGGTTAGGAATGCCTGGGGCTGGAGTGTTCTGTTGTCCTGCTGGAGACCCGGGGGCCTTCTTTCTTCTGCCAACTTCTCAGCTACACACACACAGAGTACATCTCTGAAGGAGCGTGTTCTAGAAGCTTTTCTGTGTGTCCTCTTTTGATTCAGTGGTCTGTGGTTACTTTACTTGAGACAAGTTGGCAGAGAAATAAGGAAAGGAGAGATATTTATATATCTATATCTATCTATCTATCTATAAATATATAGAAAGACCTGGCTTTAGGGACCCTTGTCTGTGATGAATTTTAAATATCCCCTTGTTCATGGACTAGACATTCCAGCCATGACCAGAGTCAGACAAATACATAATAATTACAAATATTGACAAATATTGACAATACATTACAGTTGTGTAGAAGAGGATGCTGTTGCGTCTTGTTGTTGTTGTTTTTCTTCTCCTTAGAAACATGGATCTTCTCAGGAGAAGGGGCCAAGACGAGGCTGCAGCTATGGAACGTGGAGGAGGTGGACAAGAAGGCGAGACTCCGTTGGAAAAAGCTTGTACTCCTGGCAACCACTGGGGGTGAGCAGAGGGGATTAAGGATGGCTTCCTCAGGATTTGGGTATTTCCTCTCTCCTTGATGACCAATGGTCTCTCTTCTTTTTCTCTTTCTCCTCTAAATGTGCTTAAGATGGAATCCCAGAGAGAAGTCTGCAGCCTCAGCCCTGCTGTTTTGGGGACATCCAATGATAAAAAGGTGAGAAGACACCTCTCCCATGGGTCAGGTCTTCCCAGTGTGAAGGGCACACACAGCTGCCCTGTGCCTGGCTTTTCTGATGATGGGATGGATGGATGCTGGAGTTCAAGTTCCGCTGGGTTCTTGACAGCCCTGTTGATTTCAGAACTGGACCATAACCTCGGTGTTGCTGACGGTATCTCACTCCCTTTTGCTATGGTTGGTTCAGGACCGGCGGAAATGGACCACCAAGTTCAGGCAGCCTCTGCCTCCACACCCTGGCTTCCCTCTTCACTACCGAGACCCTTCTGTCAGACACCGCTTCATCTTGGTGACTCTTCTCCACCTTTCCCAGAGCTTGTAAACCCAGGTACCCAGGACGGGTGTGTGTGGAATGAAACCCAGCGTTCCTTGTCAGCAGGTGGAGGGCTGGTAGGAGAATGTACAACGTTCTAGCTTGAGTCACACATGGAGGAAAAGCTGTATTTCCACAGTGCACACACACATACGGGGGGGGACGGGGGACACAAAAACAACAGCAACAACAAAAACAACAAACCAGCAAAACCCAAAATAAAGCGGAAAACTTTCACGCAAAGTCTACATTGAGTTTTGATGGTTGTTTCTGTAGGAACTCTGTCAGACTCTGTTTCTTTAGTTAGGAAAGGGGATTCTGAATTCGTCTTCCGTTTACTCTATAAAATGCTACTTTAAGGTCACACAAAACACAGGAGTAAGGGACAGCCAGGTCCTACGTGACACAAGGCAGAGGGGCCTTTGGTTACAAGGAGAGTCGCACCGAATGGTTCTTAGAAAAGAAAGAAATCAGTTCTACTCTGTCCACTGGCCATCGGCTTAACCGACAAATGAAATGCCTTGATTTGAAGACGGGGACAGTAACTTCCTTCTGGCTATATATGGCTATGTTAAGACATGTCTGCTTCCTGATATGTAAAATAGACTATATCATCAGTAGGAGTTTTTACAGATAGCTCTAAAAATATCTGAATCGGAAATCACAACTATTTACTTTTTATCAAAAAGCGTTGGTTTGTTTTCCCTGAAGTTTCACATTTGTGCTGCTGGGTAACATCTATGGTGATGAAGAAACAAAGAGACACGAAAGATGGTCAGCAGAACGGTCCCACGGTCCCACCGACAGGCCCCCAGCACCGGGCTGAGCTCATCGGGGGCCCTGGAGTCCCGTCCCTCCCCCCTGCTTCCTGCCTCCAGGGCGCTGCTGTTCATGGTGACCTTCACTGTCCCAGCCCCTCTACATCTGTTTTGAGAAAGCTCTGAGGCCGGTCAGACAGTCAACTTCTCGGTTTTCTTGACTCACAGCAAATGCCAAGGTGCACCCTGTGGAGGGAGGGGACCCTGGTCCCCGGAAGTGCTGAGAAGTGTCATGAACTGTAGAAAACACTTTGCTTAAGGTTGGTGTCTAACCCTTTAGCATTCTGCCTGTGTTAGGTGGCCTGACCTCAGCCGTGGAAACAGGAGGCAGAACCTTGTGATGGAAGTGTGCTGATGGGTGGATCATGCCATTGAACTATTGGGCAGACCAGCCATAAATTATACCGAGGACAGGTGATCAATATCATGTCATTGCTCCATCAGGAAGACACATGCCTGTCACTGTTCTGAGGACAGGGAGGAGGACGCTACAGCATTTGGGACATTATCCACTAACACTATAGTAAGAAAACCACATTGCCCCATTGTACTACAGACAGGCTGACCAATAACACCATCTCTACTGATACACAAGCCGTTGACTATAGCATCGTGCGGACTGGTGTCACTGAGGAAGGCCAACAACACTGTGCCACTGGGTTACAAGCAGGCAGGACACCGCCAGGTCAACACGCTAGGACAGGAAGACCGACACCAGGAGGTACATCGGAACCTCCAGGGACACACATGGGTACTTATTGCTTTTGGCTGTGCCGTCTGCCTAGATGGCTGCAGGAAAGAGCATCGGGCTTTCAGGACAGTGACACAGGACACACAATGGCTGGTTGACACGAAAGAACAGTGCGATTCCCGACCCCCAGTTGCCGCGCCCTTCTGAGACGTGTGTGTCTCTTGCACACGGGACTTTAAGAGAGCTCTGCCCCGAGGGCTAAGGACCCCTCCTGACCCACGACGGGGCTATGGAGGAGCCCCAGACTCTAATGTGGTGACAGTGAGACCCACTGTGGCCAGAAATGGGCACAAGAAATACCCCAAGTGCAGGGCCACCATGCGGCCCACAGGAAATAGTGCTTGATTTAGAGTGTGAGATCTTGACACTGTCCCTGGTAGAGCCTAGATTAGAAAAACATAAAGTGCTTTTTATTAACTTATTATTTTTTAGCTTGAATACCACAGGAAAAAAAAAAAAGAAAAAAAAGAACGTCTCTCATAGTAGATATGTTCCCATGTTCCCCACCACAACAAAAAGTAGTCAGAAGCCTGCACAGGGCAGTTCAGTGAGGGCTTTTTTTTTTTTTTTTTCCTTTTTTTCATGTAGAAAATGAAATTTATTATTTTTTTAATGCTGTTCTTCAGTCACACAGTCTCTTTGAATAATCTATCTTGTTTGCATATTTGACGCTCATGTATCTTTTGAGTTCAGGCTAGTGCTGTTTGGAACGCTCATTCCTGTGACAGCCCTAAAAGCGGTGGTCTGGTTTATCTCCTGGGCTGGGTCCCAGCCGTCTTGAACCCTTCCTTGATTGCCAGGAGGGCAGAAAGAATTGAGTCCAGATTGTCAGCTCACCCTTACAGCGTCCCAGGATAAAGCCCTGGGCACCACAGAATACTGAATCAGTCAAGCAGTTGCTTCATTAAGGGTTATGCGCCGGGACCATGGCTGATGGAGCGGAGAATTCCTCAGGATCAAAGTGTCCCCCGTCCCCTGCCACAGAGGGCAGTGCTCTTGGAGGTGGCTAGGCAACACCCAGAACTACTTGGTCGACCCATTCTTTCACTGGCAGCCGCTTGTTCCAATGCCCTCCTCCAGCTGAAGCCACGAGAGACAGAGATGGCACATTCAGAGGCTGGGAGAGCCTCCAGAGGAGTGGGTGGCCCAGGCTAGGTCTTAGTGGCTGTGAGCTCCGCTTACGTCATCTCAGGAAGGTGCTGTTAGGAGGTATGGCCCCTGTGGCTTGGCTGGTTACGTTGTCCATAGGCCTGTCATGGCTCTCAGGGTCTCTCCTGTTCTTGGGGCTCTGCAGGGGCCTTGTGTCTCTGAGGTCATACAGAACTCAGCAGCAGCAAGCCAAGCATCCCTCCGCTCCTCGATTTCTCCTGCAAATTCCCCTCTGCGGTGGGCAGCTCAGATGCTCTGATCCCGAGTGCTCCCATGCGCTCCTCCCCCGGGCAGCAGGTGCACATCGGGGGAGGTGTGGTTTTCCAGTCTGCACTTCTCTTGAGCTCCGGGGCCTTTCCCAGTCAACCCTTCTGAGGAGTAGACACAGTTTGGCCTTAAGAACTTGGGGGAGGTGGGCAAGGGGGAGCTTTCAAAATGGTTCTTCTCTGTTCTAGTTCCAATGCTGAACTTGGGGCTGGTGCTCCCATGGAGACTCTTGGGAGGACTGGAGTCCACGCTGTAGAGCGGCTGACCCTCATCATCTGTGTCCGTGTCTATGTACTGGTGGACGCCCGCCTCAAAGTTGAATGCTATTGCTGTGTGTTTCTCAGGGGAGCGAGGGGGTGTCCTGGCACTTGCTGTGGTGTAGATAGACGACTCTGGGCTCAGCACAGGCTTGTCTAAAAGTGAGGCGCACTCCAGTCCTGCGACCGCAGCTGCTGCACCGCCTCTGTTCCTAAGAGGATCGTGGTACACCCCCAGAGAGGGCAGCAGCGGGCTGGGGTCACCCTCCATGAAGTTGACCTTGAGTGCCCGGAGCTTCATGGGGTTGTTGGTCTTCATGGAACTCCTGGGGCTCTCCACGAAGAAACCAGAGCAACTGGCTTCAGGAGTGGCGTGGGCCTCAACGAGTCTCCCACCACTGGCACCCAGAGCCCCCCGCCAGCCTACCTCTGGAGCTGTGCTGCCCCCAGCCTTGCTGGAGAGGGATGCCAGAGGACTGTGGGAGAATCGGGTGGCTTCAGGGAAGTCTGTGGCACAGCTGATGAAGCTGTCAATGCTGGACATGCTTCGCATGTCGATGACGCCTTCTGTGCGCGTGGGCAGAGGGGCCACGGGGCTGGGCATGCTTGCCATCTCCAGCTCTTCCGTCGGCTTGCTCTGTGGGGCCATCTCCTTGGTATTGAGGATGGGTTGGGACTGTGTCTTGGCCATCTTATTGTACATGTCTTCCAACTGCTGGACATTCAGATGCTGAGGACTGGAAGACGATCTGGCCTTCTCAGGGGACCCCTGCTCCTTGGTTTCAAAGGACTTGCTTGAGCTGGTCTCGGACAGTGCCCTCTTGGTCCATTTCCACTTGTTGGGAGACAGGTGGTTATCTTGCACTTTATCTTTCTTAGACATGTTCTCTCCATTCTTCTCCACCACAATGTCCATCATCTCGATGCTCCGGGCGAAGGCATCCTTCATGTTCATGGACACGATGCTGCCATTTCTCTTGGCTCTCTCCAGAGCCTCTCTCCGCTTGATGGCTTTCTCCTGACGCTTCTGCTCCTTGTAGAACTCCGAGAAGTTGTTAACGATAATGGGAATGGGAAGAGCAATCACTAGGACCCCAGCGATGCAGCAGAGGCCCCCCACGATCTTCCCCAGGAGAGTCTTAGGGTAGATGTCTCCATACCCAACAGTTGTCATGGTGATGGTGGCCCACCAGAAAGAGGCAGGGATGCTTTTGAACTTGGTGTCATCCTCATCCTTCTCGGCAAAGAAGACCAAGCTGGAGAAAATCATGATGCCCATGGCGAGAAAGAGGATGAGCAAGCCCAGCTCGTTGTAGCTTCTGCGCAGTGTGAAACCCAGGGACTGCAGGCCGGTGGAATGGCGAGCCAGCTTCAGGATGCGAAGGATGCGCATGATTCGGAAGATCTGGACCACACGGCGGACGTTCTGGAACTGCAGCACACTCTTGTTGGATTCCGTGAGGAAGATGGTGACGTAGTAGGGCAGGATGGCCAGTAAGTCGATGGCGTTGAGAGGGCCCTTAAAAAACTTCCATTTCTTGGGCGAGGACAGGAAGCGCAGCAAGTACTCCATGGTGAACCATGCAATGCATACCGCTTCCACGTGCGCCAGCTGCGGGTTGTCCGTGCTCTGGCCAAACTCATCCAGGCTCTGCAGCTCAGGCAGTGTGTTGAGTGACAGGGCGATGGTAGAAAGGACGATGAACATGATGGAGATGATGGCCAGGATCTGCAGGGAGAGGAG